TCCTAAGTGGTGCTCATAATAAGGCAGTACACTGTTACTGTTTTTTAAAAAGTATTGCATATATCCCTGTGGGTTGTTTATGTTAAATGAAAACAAAATGGAATGAGATTTTAGACCTTTAAGTAGGGCCTCATACAACTGATAACGAAGAGTAAGTGACCTTGTCATTAAACAAAAAAAATGTATGTTTTTGGGGGAGAGGGGTTATAATCTTGAAGGGCCAAGGTAGCCAATTAGGGAGAAAGTATTTACATCTTCTGTGATCACACAAATCTACACTGAAACTCGGTCCACAAGAAAGTGATACCCAGGGACTGGAATGATAGCACAGTGGATAGGGCATTTACCTTGCTCGCAGCCGACCGAAGTTTGATTCTCAGCATCCCATATGGTTCTCCAAGCACCGCCCAGAGTAACTGCTGAGTGGAGAGCCAGGAGTAACCCCTATGCATTGCCAGGTGTGGCCCAAAAATTTAAAAAAAAGAGAAAAGAAAAAGAAAAAAGAAAGTGACACCCAAATGAACTTATTTGGAAAGAGATGAAAAGACAATATCCAGATAGATTGGGAACAGAGATATCTGTGCCACAATAGGACCCACAGCATGACGCAAAAAGATTCAATGAAGGACAGGTTTTTAAGATACAGTTTTGCCCAGGGGCAAGGTTGCATTGAACACCTGGTGCCCCAAAGCCACCGTTATATTCACTATCTGTATGCAAATGAGAGGTAAGGAATGATAGAGCACAAATAGGGGTCAGAGTCACTAGCAGGTCCCATCTTGATGACTTCTTAAAAACCAAGCTGAGAGAAGTGTTGGTGCATGCTACATTAGATTTCATTCCCGAGAGTAACAGACCTTGGAGCCAAATGCTTGATGAAAGCACAGAACCTTTATTAAGTGGCTGGAGGCTGAAAGATAATTATCAAGAGTGCTCACTCTTGACAGATAGACTGACCCCTGCCAGTCTAGATCTGTTATCAAGGGAGTCATAACCCCTCCAGGCAGAAAGCACTCCACAGACCTCCCTAGATTTAACCAGCTTCGGAAGATGGTCCTCCTGCCTGCATGCCCTTGCTGGCTCATGGCCAACCAGATTCTGCCAGCTGCAAAGCCCATGTCCTATGAGCAGCTAGGCCTCAGATTCCAAACCCCTTGCAAGTGTAATTCAGCAGGAACTACCCAAGTCACTGTGAACATAGAAGTTTAGTGGCTGCTGGCCCCATGAAAACTCCTGGTTAACCATTTTGAACTTGACACACTCCAGTTACTCTGCTTGTGTTATGCTTGAGCACATCTGTTTCCTGTTCAGAACAATCTGGCAAATAGATGTTACCAGGTGCTTATGACAGTATTCCCTAGTTGCCATCAGGTCTACTGTGGTCCCTTGTTAGTACATGGTCATCTAGACTCTGCTCCTTGACAGGTACATAGTCTCTGCTTTCTGGTAGTCAGGCCCAGTGTACTCTCAGATGTACCCTATCTTAGGCTCCGCAGATGTTGCTCTGGTTTGCATGACTATATTAGCTAGCTGCTGCCAGGGACTCAGGTTTATAGTCTCCAGTCACTGTCCAGGTTTGTTCAACTTCAGCTATAACTGGTGTCTAGAAATCCAACCATATATTCTTGCTCACTGATCAGTCTCACCAGAACTCACTGCCACAACTGGTGCCAGACATGTGGAATGAATTCCTAGATTCCTTCCAGGACATTTATGAGTTTGGCATTATGACTGAGGGCAAGCACAAGTGACTATGATGTTTGCAGTCATAACCAGGCCCACCCAACCTCCCAGCACTACAACTAGTTCCAGGAATCAGAGGAATCTCCCAGTCTTCCTCAGGTCTGTTCAACCTCATAAGTATAGATCAGAAGAATTAATAATGTAAAAGGACCAAGTTAAAAAATCATTTTATAGATTCAACGTAATCCTATCAAACTCCCAGTGAACATTTGTGAAGGAAAAATAAAATAGAAAAATAAAAGTTGCTAAAATTTACAAGGACCACAAGTAGCCAAAGCAATTGTGAAACAAAAGACAATTAATGAAAGCACCAAGAATACGGAATTTAAGTTATATTACTAGGGTAATATAATAATAATATAGAACTAGGGTAGTAAAAACTGTGTGGTTTTGAAATAAAAAACAATGACACATTAATGACGTAGAATTGAGATTCCAGGATTAAAAATCTCACATGTATGGGCACCTAAATTGTGATAAAGGAGTCAAGAGCAGAAAATAGAGAAAATTTTTTCAATGAACTGTTTGGGAAAACAGGATAGTGACTTGTAAATGAATGCAATTGGATCACTATCTTACACCATGTACAATAATTAACTCAACATGCATTTAAGACTTGAATATGATTCAAAAATTTGATCAAGAAAATATAGGCAAAGCACTTCATAATGCTGGATTCTACAATGTATTCAGGGATTTGACTACAACGGCAAGGGGTAAAATGCCAACTTCCTATACAACATTTGGATAGTCGCCGGTGTGTATACTTATGTTTGAGCACAATCAACAGAAGTCATACCTTACTTTATGCAAATTGTGCTTCACCTATATCCCCAAGTGTATATTGATGAACTTTTAAAGAATTTAAATATAAGATAGTGTTTATAATGAATATAAGCTCTAATCACAATTAACCATTATATTCAAGATGCATCGGTTTGGAGAGATGACTCAAGGAGTAAAGAAGACATCTAGTATATTCAGGGTCTTGAGTTGATCCCTGGTACTTCAAGACCTTGAAAGTACCTTGAAGTACTGAGAGTACTGAAGAACAATGAGATTACCACTGACTTAAACCAACAGACATACAAAAAAGAATTTTCTGGGGTGGTGTCTATGAAAAAAATAAATGCTTACACTGTTCCCTCTGAAATATCTTGCATTTATTCAGTCATCCTTTATTTATCTTTAAGATAACATAAGTTAATGAAACTGTTTATGTGTAGGATACAGTTTTACACCTCTTTATGAGGTTTGTTACCACAGTGCACTATATTTAAAATTAACTATAACTTTTCCTTCATCACAACCATTAGACTCCCACTCTCAAATAATGGTGGTGGGAAGGTCCAATGGTGGTGGGATTGGTGTTGGAATATTGAGTGTAACAAATCATCATAAACAACTTTATTAAAAACTAAAATAAAAAATGACTCCCACTCTCCTACAAATCTTCCTTTCCACTCTCTTAGGTAACCTCAGTTTGTTAATAATACAAGCATTTTTGAATTTTTGTTTTGTTTTATTTTTGTGCTACACCCAGAGGTTCTCAGGGCTTACTCCTGACTCTGTTCTCAGGGATCACTCCTAATAGATTTATGGGAGCATATGGGTGCTTAGGTTGTTTCCAGGTCTTGAGCTTCTAGTAAGTAAAAATAATGCTGTAATAAATAAGAATGTGCACATATCTATATATCTTTTCAGTTTCTTTGAGTATGTTTTTAGGAATAGATGTCTAGGAATAGTATATCTGGATCACTTAAGATATGTATATATTATGTGTAAACTATATATTATAAAAATTATATATATATAGTTTTAGCAGTGTTTATATTTTCCACAAAGATTGGAATAATTTACATTTATATCAAGAGTATAAAAGTCATTTTCTCCACTCCACCGACACTTGTTGTCCCTAGTTTTTAATGTAGCTCTTTGCACAGGTATGAGGTGGCGTTTCATTGTCATTTTTTGTGTCGCATTTCCTTGATAATCAGTAACAAAGAGCACTTTTTCATAATTCAATTGGCTCTAACCATCTGTTTGAATTCTCAGATGAAGTGACTGTTATGCTCTTTTCCCCATTTTTCAGGGGCTGTCTGTATTCTTTTCAAACGTGTATAAATTTTTTAACCATTGCTAAAGCAGTCACAAAGTCACTATTACCAGATCAAATGTCCTTTAAAAGAAGTGAACCTCAGTTTGTATAAGGTTAGGACCTACATCTTAAATACTTTGTATTTTCCTGCTAATTATTTCCTTTCAATGGGCAATTGCACTTTGTATTAATAGAGTTCTTAAAAGACCAACAAGAAGTCAAGCTCTGAGCTAATCATCACTGCCCTCTCCTTTAGGACAATCTGTTTAATGACCCCAATCTTACTGTCTTTCACTGCCAGGGGAAATATGAGCAGAAAAAAGGTTTGCAAAGGTATGTCATTGGTGTAACCTTTTATAAGAGATGAGAAATTTTAAACACAAATTTGACTTCAAATTCAAACCAATTTCTAAAACAAAGCAGGAGTGACTTAAGAGAAATTGTTGAGCAGTTTCGATATGAATGTCAGCCATCCATTCCAAAATACCTTGTGAAGTGCTTTTTAGAATTTATAGACAAGATGTTATTTGAAGCATTTAGGTTATAGTGATTTTAGACCATTACAAGAAAACTAGCATTCTTCCGAAAGGAATTTTTAGTTTGAGAAACAACTGTATATTCATTCACTTTTATTATTATTTTGCAAATATACTACTTCAAATATAATATTTAGAGAGATTTTTTGAACATATATCACCTGGCCTATTTTTTCCTCATGACTTTCTTTGTATCATTACTTTAACTTCAGATCTAAGAATTCAGTTAAATGAATTTACGGATACCCCTCAAAATAACCTATCATATCACACAAAACAGGGACGTTCACCCTTCAGATGGTGGTGGTGTGGGGAATGTATTGGTGGAAATGTTTATACATTGCACTCAGTTATTGCCCTGGTTCATTTAACTAGCTGTTTTGCTCTCTATATATGCATAAAGATGCGAAGTTCAATATATTCTAAGGGAAACTTATAAGGGACAACAAGACAATGGGTATCTAGCATCTGTGATTCTACATCTTTCCACATAATAAATAGAAAGCCGATGATGATGGTGATGATGATGGTGATGATGATGATGATGATAATGATGATGATAATGATGATATTAACAATTATAATGGCGATGGTAAGATTTCTTTTGGGGTTTTGTTTTTCAGGATTATACACTCACCATGTATTTCCAGCAGTCTTGGAAAGACAAAAGACTTTCTTATTCTGGAATCCCACTAAATCTCACTCTAGACAACAGGGTGGCTGATCAACTCTGGGTACCAGACACCTACTTTCTGAATGACAAGAAATCATTTGTGCATGGAGTTACAGTAAAGAATCGAATGATTCGACTGCATCCTGATGGAACAGTTCTCTATGGACTCCGGTAAGTGATTTGATGTTTTACTTTACTTTTACTTTTGAAATGGGAAGAAAGGAGACAACACCTAAGATTATATAAACAGATTTATATGTATTATATAATTATATGAAAGATCAGAAAATCTTTTGGAACCATTTGGTCTTTGTGCATTGAAGGAAAGTGAATTAATTATTTGCCCTAACCTGCAAATAATAATGACAGAAATATGAGAATTTGTCTACGGCAAACATATTTCATATCTAGCAATTATAGAAATTACATTTAAAAAATCAATTGCTTAAATACATCTGAACTACCCATATTGAGCTATAATTCTAGGTATTAAGTGTTCTGGGTATTGAGAATAGCTACTCAAGTATGCAGAGGAATTGGCAATCAATACTTAAGAATTTGAACAATAGTTTATAATGACTTTGAGATTTATGTAATAGCATTTCCTTAAATATGTCTCTCTTATATTTCGGTATATGACAATATACTGAATTAATTTTGTATTTTGTGTGAGATAGGAGTTGACATTTGTTTTTCCCTATTTCTATTCACTTATCCTAGTGCTGTTTATTAAATAGACTTTTCTTTTCCCATCAGGATATATATATATCTTATTGGGAATATATATATCTTATATACATAAAGGTAAAGGTAAAGGTAAAGGCCCTCCCGTTGATCGTCGATTTGCTCGAGCGGGCCCAGTAACGTCTCCATTGGAGACTTTGTTGTTACTGTGTCTGGCATATCGAATACTCTCGGTAGCTTGCCGGGCTCTCCGAGAGGGGCGGAGGAATCGAACTCGGGTCGGCCATGTTGGCCGCGTGTAAGGCGAACGCCCTACCCGCTGTGCTATTTGGTGAAAATTTATTTTTATATTCAGTTCTGCACCATTGTTTTATTTTTTCATGTTAGGCAGGATTTCACTATTTCAATTTCCATAACTATATGTCATTATGTCAAGTAGTAAAGATAATCCACCTTTTAATTAACTTAAGATTGTTCTTATTTTAGACACTTTGAATATGCCTATAAATTTAAAATTAAATTGTCAGTTTCTACCCCCAAAAAATGTTTGCCTAAATTGTAATAGAGATTGCATTAACTCTACAGGTTAGTTTGGGGTACATTAAGATTTTTACAATTATTAACTCTTCTAATACATGAAAATGATATTTCTTCCATATTTTGATTATGTCTAATTAATACCTAATTAGTGTATTATATATAAGTGTATATAATATAAGTGTATTTTTATGTATATAAGTATAATATAAGTGTATTTTTGCAAGATAGTGGGCTTTGTTTTGTTTTATTTTTAAGGATAAAGTGTTAAAAAGTATATAAAATTCCTCCATTATATATTATGAAGGACTGTTATTAATATCCATTTTGTTAGGAGTTCATTAGAATATTTTTGTATCACTTCAAATCAGTTGCCATTTCTTCCAATAAAATACCGAGTTTTGTTGTTATTTTTAGTCTATGAAGAAGGTGTTTTGAAGTATTTATAAGTCCTCCAAAATCCATAAACTACCAATGCCAAGTTAACTCCAGTTAGGTATCATAATATTTCAATTTATGGCTGCACAAATCTTGAATTCTCAGATGAAGTGACTGTTATGCTCTTTTCCCCATTTTTCAGGGCCTGAATGAAAAGTATTTATGATAAAATTTTTGTTGTTAATCTAGTGGCTAATAGTTTTAATCTTCATTTATACAATAAAGTAGTATCATTTAATCTGGCCAAAATGATCTTCAGATAATTTTCACCATTCAGTGATCTAAGAGCTTTCAACACTAATTGAAAATATGACATAAAAGTCTCTCAAAAACATATGAACTAACTTAAAAATTTCCTTGATTATATTGATAGTTATTACAAGCAAAACATACTAATCCTAGATCTCTGATGATCATTAGTAATGACTAATACATTGAAAATATAGTTTTAAGTTCTCTACTATCTATGATGACACATCTACTGGACACAACCAAGGTTTAAAGTAATAAAGCACTCTTTTGAAATATCTTGGGAGAATAATTCCATTGCCCAGTTGAGTTATATGAGTCAATCACACCACATGCAACTATGTTAATAGCTGAGTGTGTGCAAAGTTTTTGTTTGTTTGTTTGTTTTTAGAAGAAGACAACTGAAATTTGGGGATGAGAAAGAAGCAAGTTTTACTCTAAATTTACAGAATCTTACTTTGAACATTTCTCAAATTGAAGAACCATAAGGTTGAATGTATAGGTCTTTTTTCCCTAAAAGGAGGTATCTGAATGAGACATTAATTTTCTAATTTGAGTTTATTTATTTTAAATTTTTTATTGTAGTTTAAGTAAGATGGTTATAATCATGCTAATGTTTTTGGTTTGGATATACAAAGTCACTGCACCTAATTATCACTAAAGTACTCAAGACTTTCAGTACTTAATGTCACTTCTACTCCACCTCTTTCTTCTTCATCTCCTTCCCATTTTAAAGTGACAGAACTAAAATATAAAGTAGAGAAATGCCTCATCTAAGGAAGGCATCCTACTAGTTTTTAGATATATGTAGAAGTCAAATCTTTGAAATTGTACAATATTGATTTCTGTTCCTTGGAGCACTCTTAAAGACCTTTGCAACTAGTACATTGTAATAATATCCTAAAGAATAAATATTTATCATTTATCGTTATCTAGATGCTATCGTCTTTAGGGCAACAACTTTCTTTACAAGAGCATCAAACCGTCTTATAAGAATGGCTCATGTGACTTACCTACAGAGGCTCTGAGTTCAGATTCTTGGAAATTCATGTATATAAAATACCTCCACCAGTATTTCATTGCCCCTGTGTTCTGCATTGCTCTGGCATAGAACTGTATTTCCAAGCAGTAGTGACCTCTAGGCCCTGAGCACTGTTGGGGAACCCTTCCTCAACAAAAGAAGCTCCAGTCAACTCTGATACTGTTCCTTCTGCCATGTCTTTCACCCTACTCTCCTCTTCCATACTTCTTTCCTCTCTGGTTTAGTTTTCTTTGTCTTATATACCCTAGAGAAATGAAAAAATATTGTAAAAGTAAGTATGATACCTGGAGTCAGAGGTCAATTTTGGACTCATCTCCATTTTCTGAACAGTTTATGTAATCACTGAGCCTTGGTTTCATCATCTGCAATAAGGGTCTAATAATCATTTATTCATTACTAGGAAGTTATTATGGAATAATGAATATTAAATGAATATATAGAAAATACTTAATTAGTATTTTCCTCTATACTGAACATTTTATATCCTTATTACTTAATGAAAAATAGAAAAAAACATGAAGAACTAGTAAAACTCTGTTAGTGTCCAGAAAAGATAGTAATCTAGCTTGGAAAACTCTATGTTAACCTAGTATGTGTCATATAATATAACATTATTCTGACCCTGGAAATAATGCTCCAAAAGTCTAGTGAAAATTTGCGACTGTGATGGCATCATTGTGATATCAAAGATTTATGAGTCAAGAAACATGTCACCTAACCACATTATGACCATCAGTAACCCAAGTATTCCCTTTCGTCTTCAGATTTCTCAACCTTCCAGGGAAGGTATTGGACAAAACTCTATATACTTTTCCAATTCTAAGCTCTGTTGTGCTTGTTACCATATGTATTAAGGCATGGTCATTTGATTTTCTCTGATATCACAGTTTTTAGTCTTAAAAATGGCAATGTACTTTTTTCCCATCATAATAGTCTTTTCAAGAGTAGCAACCATACATAATTCTTTAAGTAGAGTTCTACAAAATATTTATCCAATAAGCTTTTGTATATTTGTGACTGTATGTATTAGACTAGGTAATCAGAAATTTTGTGTTTTCTCCATTATTTAAGTTCAACTTATAGTATAGTCACAAGAAATAAGAACATACATTAATGTGTTGTGTTGCTTTTTGCCATGATAAAGTCATTGGGATCTTCTGAATGTTCTTTGACTAGGTACATCTAAAAGCTCTTTGACTAGGTATCCCATAATTATAAATTAGTATTATTACCTACATCAAATTGTTGTTATATTCAAACACAATGCTGTATATTAATTTAAGTGAAGCCACAAGAATAGAATATGCTGTTTTCTATTTTTGGGTATTATGCAAATCAGGTTTTTTATACAAAATGTTTCATAAAGTCATGTAAACACTCAAATAAATAGAGTGGTGCCTGATTGAGGTTGGTATTTCTAGAAGCACTAGGCTACTGAGTAACATTCATACCACCTACTGAGGAGACTCCATTCCTCAAGCTTCCTGCTCCTCTATTATCTGTGTTGGAACAACATACATTATGATACTCAATAATCCTACAAACACTTCAACTTCCCCATGTTGTAGTATATAGACGCAGCATGCCTAAGATGTGCTGTAAGACTTGCTAAGAGACCTCCTGGTACTTATCTCAACTATTCTTGGTTGTTCATCTCCCATTCTGTTACTTTATATTCCCCAGATGAGTGCAGTCTTTCTATGTCTGTCCCTCTCTTTATGACTCATTTCACTTAGCATTATAGAGAAGGGAACACCAAGTAAAGGATGTTTGGAGGACTCACTTGGGATGCGAAATGTGTGCTGAAAGTAGACTATAGACCGAAAACGATGGCCACTCAATACCTCTATTGCAAACCACAACACCCTAAAGGAAAGAGAGAGAGCAAAAGGGAATGCCCTGCCATAGAGGTGGGGCGGGGTAGGGGGAATTGGGGGGTGAGAGAGCTACTGGGTTCATTGGTGGTGGAGAATGGGCACTGATGGAGGGATGGGTACTTGATCATTGTATAACTGAAACCCAAACACAAAAGTTTGTAAGTCTACAAAAAAAAGACTTGCTAAAAGACTAGAACTTTAATCTGTGCTCCTGCTCTTCTCAAAGTGCAGGGTCATTTCTTACTTTGAAGTGGAGCAGGAATGTCCTCTCTTACCACATCCCACATCAAGTCTTTAGAATGTTTCTTCCTTCCTTCCTCCTTCAACTACATAGAGATTTTTCT